GATGTCATTGACACTGATTCCACCATGATGATCATCACACCGACTCCACCATGATGATGGTCATCACGCTGACTCCACATGATGACAAACACGCTGATGCCACCATGATGTTGATCACACTGATTTCCTCCATGATGATGTCATACACACTGATTCCACCATGATGATGATATACACACTGATTTCACCATGATGTCATTGACACTGATGTCGCCATGATGATGTCATACACACTGATTTCACCATGATGTCATACACACTGATTTCACCATGATGATGTCATACACACTGATTTCATCATGATGATGTCATACACACTGATTTCACCATGATGTCATACACACTGATTTCACCATGATGATGTCATACACACTGATTTCACCATGATGATGTCATACACACTGATTTCACCATGATGTCATACACACTGATTTCACCATGATGATGTCATACACACTGATTTCACCATGATGATGTCATACACACTGATTTCACCATGATGATGTCATACACACTGATTTCACCATGATGTCATACACACTGATTTCACCATGATGATGTCATACACACTGATTTCACCATGATGATGTCATACACACTGATTTCACCATGATGATGTCATACACACTGATTTCACCATGATGATGTCATACACACTGATTTCACCATGATCAGGTTTGGTGATTTTTTTTTTTTCAAAAAAATCAAAAAAATCTATTTTTTTTCTTTTTTTGAATTTTTTAAAAATGTCGACACAGTTTGGGATTTTTGGTTGCTAAAAGTATGTTCTTTTAGTGCAAAATGCATTGTCTTAATTTAACTAATGATTAAATAAAGCAACCTCAAAAGAAAGCCTTAATCTGCTATATAATAGTATATATATATATACATATATATATATATATATATATATATATCAGACAAAAAATGAAGAAAATGTCAGTCTAAAAGGAAGGGGTAGGGGGGGGGGGGTAATTATGAATAGATAAACTTGCATTTTATTACAGTGTGTGTGTGTGTGTGTGCACGCGCTTGTGTTTGTCTAAAAAGAAAAAGAAAATGTTAATTTCAATAATGAAAAAAAAGTAAATTGAATGCTGTATTATTTTACAGTGACAGGGGGGAAAGCAGACTTTTAAGCATGATTTTATTAGTCTACTAAACCTTATATACTGTTTTATAAAACCAAGGAAAGGAATTCTGAATATTTAAAAATGTAAAAACAGAATACATTTTTTTAAAGTGATTTAAATCACTGAGTTTTATTTTTTTAATCAAGTTGATTTAAAAAATTTAAAAATCAACTGATTTAAATCAACCCAACCCTGATTTCAATTATGAAAAAAAAGTCAATTGAATACACTGATGTCATACACACTGATTTCACCATGATGATGTCATACACACAGATTTCCCCATGATGTCATACATACTGATTTCACCATGATGATGTCATACACACTGATTTCACCATGATGTCATACACACTGATTTCACCATGATGTCATACACACTGATTTCACCATGATGATGCCATACACACTGATTTCACCATGATGTCATACATACTGATTTCACCATGATGATGTCATACACACTGATTTCACCATGATGATGCCATACACAATGATTTCATCATGATGTCATACATACTGATTTCACCATGATGATGTCATACACACTGATTTCACCATGATGATGTCATACACACTGATTTCACCATGATGTCATACACACTGATTTCACCATGATGTCATACACACTGATTTCACCATGATGATGTCATACACACTGATTTCACCATGATGCCATACACACTGATTTCACCATGATGATGTCATACACACTGATTTCACCATGATGTCATACACACTGATTTCACCATGATGCCATACACACACATGGTATAAGTTTACCCTGCCACTCCGTCATGCAACATTTCAATGATCTTAGTTTGAGGAATGACGAGCACACCCACACCATATCACTTAATGCTAAGACAGAGTAAAACACCAGAAGACTGAAACAGCAGAGGGCAAGGAAAGTCAAGAAGTAGGATGTACTTGTGTCGCCCTCCAACAACCCATACATTCCAAAGAACCAATTGATTAACCAAATTTCCCAAACCACTGGCATGCTTACACATCTTAGAGATCGAGTAGAGAGTAAGACATTGTCAGACCCTCGTTGTTGTACTAAATGGATCGAGTTTCGTTTTTTGAGCAAGGAGAACCACGTCAACATAATTATAATAGTCATCTCGGGCAGAAACAAAGTAAGACAGACAGACAGTGAGAAACAACAGTTTAAACTAAAAAAAAGAACCTATCAGTGACACTCCGACTACCCGGTAAGTACACTCCACTCCATTAAAAACTCCTCACTTTTCAAATTTTATACCTCTTTTACTTTGACCAAATCCCAAGTTCAATGAAAAAAAGTACACACTGTGAGCTATTGTCCACAGATGACCATTACACACAATACTGTACATTCTTTTGCTGGTGGAATATGTGAAAAATAGGGGAAACATTTTCTTTTTCTTGTGGTTTCTTTTGGCAATAAATCAACCGGGTTTTCTTGACACATCATCACTGTACGCTTTATTTTACACTCCAAAGTAGACTGAGCAGTGAGAAGAGCAGCGACAACACTGGGTAAGTCGAAGGCACCTTGTGGCACTCTTTGACATCGATCAGCGGACTACTGGAAGGTTGCATGAACGTTTCAAGACAACTAGACGAGTCGCCAATCAACCAAGGACAGTACAACCGAGGGTCACAAGCGTACAACAAAATCAGATGATTTAGATTAGCCACCTGAGAGATCGTTTTCTTTCTGCCACCGGGACAGCCCGAGAGCTTTGGGGACACAGAGAAACAATAAGTGTAGCCAACATCACCCATCGACAGAAGCTGCTTTGTGAAACCAGAGACCCTATCTATGAAGGCACTGTGTTCACTGCTGTACGCCGTCAAGTTCATTTAGACCACCACAACAAACACTCAAGTTGCGAGCGCCGTAAAACCCTATACTACATACATACATGACAAACACTCAAGGTGGACATTCTGACTCAGAAACTCGGATGAGTTATGTTTTCTGACAAGTCTGGATTGTGTGCGAGTCATGAAGATGGAAGAAAAAAAGTTTGGCGACGCACCAGGGATGCTGACTGTTGTGTTGTCCCGTGAGATAGAAGGAGCAGGAAGCATACCTGTCATTATAACAACACAGCTTCCTACTTTTCACAATTTAAAAAAAAAATAGACTCTACCCACGCATCGTGTCAAGATGGAGGCCACTGGCTAGGGCTGGGCAATGAGTCGCTTTAGCAAAATCTGGCTAACTAATATGTTAGTACACCTCTTCGGCAAATATTATGACATGAACCACTTCAGCAAATGGGTTAAAAGAACCACTTCCACAAACGGGTTAGCACTACTTCAACAAATAGATCCACTTCGGCAAACGGGTCAGGCAAGAGAGTTAAAAGAGTCTTAATTCGGATACTGTTTCATTGAGAACTATCCGGTTATCCGGACACTTTATCCGGATTTTGCCCACCTCTACCACTGGCCAAGTAACCCCACCACCAAAACCTTAATACACACTTTTCTGCATTCAACAGATTCAAGCTATTCCAAGAAGACCTGCAGCACGAGATCTCTCGAATTGACTTATAATGGGAAGACCTGCAGCAAGAGGACTCTCGAATTGACTTATAATGGGAAGACCTGCAGCAAGAGGACTCGTCAATAATGGGAAGACCTGCAGCAAGAGATCTCTCGAATTGACTTATAATTGACTACGAAATTTCGTGATGAGCAATACTAGAAAACAATACTAGAAAACAATACTAGAAAACAATACTAGAAAACAATACTAGAAAACAGAGACTATGCATTATCCAATCCGAAAACGGACTTCTGAACTCAGACCCTCAAAAACAGGAAAACATTTCTTACGTACTGGTTTTTCTTACGTACTGTTTGGCAGCTATGTGACAGTTTGGGCAGCCATCGGCGCCGTACTGCCAACGCTTTTTGGAAATAACCCAAACATTCCTGTTTCAGCAGGACAGTGCCAGACCTCACGCTGCATGTGTCTGGACAACATACCTAGAGCAGCAGTGATTCAAACTCATGCAACGGCCTCCTTATTCAGCCGACTCGAGTCCAGTTAAACACTTGTGGGGCGAACTACAACACTGGATACACTAGCTAACAAAG